GTCAGAGATGTCTGTCTTCCAGAATTCCGCTGTGATCTTCCTATAATCCACCTTATACACTCTGGATGGTTGCTTATAATAAAGAATCTTACATTGCTTCACGAAGTGCTTTAAAAACATACCATATACTAAAGTGTAGGCTTTATTGAAAAATAAACTCCGCTTGGTGGGCTTGACCAAGTAGAGAGTTAGATCGTGAAAATCTGTCACTGTGCCACTGAAGGGCTTCCAGATATCAAACTGAGTGAATACCGGTATCTCGGCGATCTTATTAAAAGCAGAAGTGTAAGCTTTTCTTACATCTATCTCCGTAGTCACTTCTGGGGTATAAAAGTATTTGTCGTTTTTGTCTGTCTTAGGGTTATATAAATAATAATGTTTATTTATTTCACCCGCTGGGGGGATGGTGCGACACTCCTTAAAAATCTCTACATCTACTTCGTTGTAATATGACTTGTGAGTAGGCTTGAAGAGGGCGGTATTAAAGTTAAACATTGCTTTAGACATCTTGTTGTAGATCTGCTCCGTCCTCACGCAGATGGAACCATCTATAGAATTATTTACTAAGTTCTGGGTCTTGACCTTGTATTTAATCTCTTTGTGGCTCTTGTTGTTTATCTTGATCTTAAACTTGAAGTTAAGTTCAGATACGAACCCTGCACTAAATCTAACCTGTGGCTCATACCCTGCCTGTTTGCTAAGATAAAAGAGATGAGATAGATCATAGCCATTATATACCAATGTGTATTCGCTGTGCTCGGTATACTTCCTGATGTCGTCTAGGGATGTGATCATTTTACATTCCACCGGCTCTTCCTTCTCGTTAATGTGATAATCTGAAGATGCCTTAACAGATATATTATAATTACTGCTTTTTGGTATCATCTGCTTCAACATATTCATATTATCACTGACTGTGTAGATGTGACTATTCTTCACTATAGCATATAAGGCTGGGATGTGATGGTTTCGCTTTATTGGGTCGCGCTTATAAATGAGAGTATCAAAGACATCATATATTCTCACTTGCAAGTTAAAATGTTCAAACACCTTCGCCATGTCTTTTATTGACGCCCCTTTTGTTTTAAAACCTTCTTCCGTCTTGTTTATGATCTTTAGGATGGCTTCTTTTGTTAGTTTGTTCTTCTCTCTCTTGTGATCTCCCATAAGGGTATCCTTATAATAATCCGTCAAGGTGTTAAACCAACACTCGTTCTTAACATAATGATCTACTTTAATGGCTTCCTTAAAGGTCTCATGCTGTGGATCTAAGGGTGTCTGAATGTATCTGTGATACATACTGACATTCTCTGTGTTAGTTAATTCTTCCTCTTGTGGCTTGAAAGCATCGGCGCTATCTACCCTTTCGGCGTAATTAACTTTAATACAAGCAATGTAACCTTCGGCATAACCGACATCGGCTTTAAAACTATCATCTGTCATTAGCAACATCTTGAGCCTATGAAATGTTTTTGTGTCGGCCTTCTCGTCTCTAAATATTCGTCTCCCCGCTAGGTTTTCAACCCACGGTGTTGTGGCTACATTGGCTGATAGATCACGCATATAAATAGGAACGTATGCCCTACCCCTGCTGTCTCTGAAAGATACTGATAATCCTTGGTGTGATTCAGTCTTCAATTGGTATAAATGGACATTGATTGAATATTTTCTTGGTTTTCTTGGGTTGGTTCTTCCCGTTCGTTTGTTGTCTTCTTTTGCTTGTGCCATTCTCTGACCTAGCTGTTCTTTATCCTTATGTTTGGCATAGATGTTGTTGTAGTCTTTTTCCGCTTTAGTTTTTTCTTTGTCTGTTTTTGCAGTGGTGAGTTTCCTGATTAAATTGTCTGCTGTGGTGAATTGGGCGATCTTACGATCTGAGTATAAGTTAATTATGTTTTGAACCTTTGTTCTGGTGGCTTGGGTGATGCGGTTTCGTCTGTTGTTATAAAATGTTTGTAGTGCTTCCGTATTGCGCTTAATGGCTTTGGACATATACTAATATAATTAAACTATATATTTAATTTCCCTTTAAATGGATTTTTCTGAAGATTTGTTTTAAAGAAAATTCATCTAAAGAAAAAAAAATATATATAGTATAGTAATATGAGCAAGAAGCCCGAGGATATGACAATAGAAGAAATCAAAGAACAACTCGCTATATACAACAGGCTGTATTATCACAAGCGCAACAAGGACGAGGCATACATGCAAAAGAAACGGGAATCTGCACAAAGACACAACCAGAAAAAGAAGATCAAGGAGTATGAACAAGCTAACAATATCACACTGAAGCCCGAGGAGATTAACGATGAATTGCTATCAGAAATATTGAATGCAAAGAAGCCAATGAAGCCCAAGCACGGTTCGGCAAAATATGACATGAAGAACTGCAAGATCATAATGCCGATGTCCGAATCATGATTTAATTTAGTTATTAAATCATTATTTTCTTTTGTTTTTATATGAGCGAGAAACAAAAAATTATTAATGATGTGTATTTTGATCGCGCGGGGTTTGGTTCAAAAAGCCGGACTTTAGAAGAAGCACGGGAGAAAGACAAAACCATCACAATGTCTGATATCAATGAGTTTTTTAGGAAGAATGTTGATCAAAAGCGTAAGCCCGTCGGTTCAAATAGCTTTGTCGCCCCGCATTCAGCATATGAGTATCAGATGGATTTGTTTTTTATAAATGACTTGGAAGATCAAAATTTAGAGTAGGAATGTTAATGATTGATATATTTGATAAGTTTATGCATGTCGTGGCAATTAAAGGTAAGAAGGAAGAAGATTTAGCGAGTGGGATGATTGAATGCTTACATAAAATGGGGAAGAAGCCAAAAATAATTTATACAGACGACGAGGGAGCAATGAACAAGGAGGCAATACAAAAGTATTTACAGGAACAGAACATAGAACACCGCAGAACTAGGGCGCATCCAAATTTTAGCGAGAGAGCTATTAGGACATTCAAAGATTTATTATATCGTCGTGTTGAAGCCGATCAGAAAAAGGGTAAGAACAATATTCAGTGGCCGGATTATATTTTTGAAGTATTATTAACATACAATAATAAAATGAAACATTCCGCAACTGGCTTCATTCCAAAGGATGCCAGAAAACCAAGTAACGAATTAAAAGTTAAACTGCATTTGAATATGAATGCTAAACGAAATCGGGTATACCCTGAATTAAATGTTGGGGATGAAGTTAAAATATTTAGGAAGAGGAAACCCAACGAAAAAGAACGTGTATCAAATTGGTCGCAAAATGTTTATACCATAGAAAGAATTGATGAAAAGTTGGGTCAAAAATATTATTATGTTGAAGGTTTTGATCGGGCGTATTTGCGGTTTGAGTTGTTAAAAGTTTAATTTTTCTTTTGATAAAAAAATTTCTTAAGAAAACACTTAAAGAAATAACACCTATATATATTAACAAGGAAATGTTCAATCGGAAAGAACAGGATGAAATTATTAATCAGTTCATGGATGTTATCAAGGTTAGCGATTACATCAGGGAAAGTAGGGGAAAGAGGGATAAGTGTAAATGTAAGGATTGTAAGAAACATGATCATTATTGCACATTATACGAATTGCCACTACCAGAAAATATTATTAATAATGTCTATGGCTTTACTTATCGGTGCTATGATTGTGAAAAGAGGAAAGATAAAGAGGAAGAATTAGAAGAACGACTTGAAATCAATGATTTATGTTTGTATGATGCTGGTAAACTTATTTTAAGCTTGGATGAAATATTCCCGTTGTATGATGAAGTAAAGCAGGTGATCACAAACATAACTATGAAGAGATACAACATGTTTAAGAAATTGTTTAATGAAATGATGTATTGTAGAGACAAAGAAGAAATAAAAGAATGGATACAATACAAAATGAAATATAATATTAATGCTACAGCGTATGATTTTAACAAAATCGTTAGAACACTATTGAATAAACCTGTGTTTGACTTATTGGATTAAACAAGCATAACATTAAACTCTTAATGTTATGGTTGGTGGTTATCCTAAACCCCAATCATTCAGTGACTTGATTTTCTTATTTTGATTTTGATGTGTTTTTGTTTTTTCGCTTGTGTGTGTATAGGATTTTCCAATGTTTTTGTTGTGATTTTGGCATTTTTATCGTTTTGAAGCATCCTAAACCCTAAAATTTCACTACACCCTAGGTGTCAAACTTGATTTTGGTGTTTTTTTGTTTTCTGCTTGTTTGCGTATGGGTTTTTCCAATGCTTTTGTTGTGATATTTGTGTTTTTATCGTTTTAAAACCGTTATGTTTCAAAATTTGGGGTTTATTTTTTTGTTGTATTTTTGTTTTTTATTGTTTTATTTGTTGAAAGTATTTTTTACATATTAACCAAGGCACTGGCAGAGGTAGAGGTGGAACTGGTCGTAGCGCTCGGTGTTGTAGTGAGCGAGGATGCATGTAGGTTCATCGGACTCCTCGCGCAGGGGGGAGTGGGAGTGGAGTGAGATTGTGGGGTGGGGTTGGGATTCGGCTTCCCAGCTGCGCAATCCGACGATTTTTGCACTTCTGGCGCTGGTTTGTCTGCTGATCTGGTCTGGTGAGGGGAGGTTCGCCACGACTAAACACTGCTCTAATTAATGGCTTTCTGTGGCAAATGACAAACCCCCTCCAACTGGGGTTGGTAACCCCCTCCAACTGGGGTTGGTAACCCCCTCCAATTGGGGTTGAATATGCCCTACTTATGAGAAATCCCTGATGTCACGCTCAGAGAGCAATCAAGAACGTGCTATACCAAAAGAAAAGCACACAAATCGAGCGCATATTCAGATTTCAGCGAAGAGCTAGAGAATTCAAGATATGCTAGATTGAGCTGCGGCCGATCAGAAGAAACATAATAGTTGCTACCACCATTTGCTTTGCGCATGAGCTGTGCGACATGGCTGCTAACTCAAAATCCTGGCAGTGAAACAATTGCGTCAGCAGTCGAAGCAATGGCGGGGTCATGATCATTCAGCGTCCAGCCAAGAAGTTCACCAATTTGTCGTTCCTTAGCTGTCAGTTTGACACCCGACACTACAGCGCATATGACCCCACTACCTCCCACACTGCTTGACAGATCAACGTCTCAAGCTGAGCACCGTGCCGGATGGCAACAACATCAGCTGCTACAATGCCGAAGCTGTCGTTGTACCAGCACTGCAAGCAACGGATCTGAAAATCTGTCAATTTGCTTCTCGTCGTTGTAGGCTGGGTCAGCGCGGCTGGTGGGAAGATGGCTGGTCCAGGAGCTGGCGGGGCTGCAGTTAGGGCTGCGGCTACACCTGCAGGTGCCATTGCCATTGCCGGTAGCGCGCCGAATCCAGGCAGCTCCTTGCACAACATCTCGAGCGGCTGTGAGCCTCCGCTCTCAGCATCTCGACGCAATGCTGCAGCATTTCTGAGGCTGCGCCGTGAATTGGCCAGCTGTGCCGCCATAGTGTTTTGCTGTGCCGCCATAGTGTTTTGCTGTGCTGCTATGGGTGCCAAAGCAGCCGCCAAAGCAGGTGCGAACCAGGCCGGGGCTGCCCCACCTAAAGCAGCTGGAGCAGCTGGCGCAGCAAGCTGACTCACAGCAGTCCATTCTCGAATAGCGGCATCAGCAATCTCCGCGTCTGTTACATGTGCTTCCAACCTTTGCAGTTTGCGCTTGCGGCGGTTTTCGGCAGCAACATCGGCAAGTGTGACCACAGCTGTTGCAGGCCTGCTTATGCCGGGACAGCCATCGACGCCTAAATTTGCCAGAACAGGTGATGCCGGAAGGCCTGCCATGATTGCACAATCGCTGGAAGCTTGTGCCAGAGGGCAAGAACGCCGGCAACTTGCAGCATGCGGGAAACATGAACAAGGACAGAGTTGACGCAAAACAACAGCAGGATGTCACTCCTGAAACAGCATGTTGTGATCGTCGCTGTCGTTGTGCAACACGTTCGTCATGATCGCGCGCAGAACCACTGAGTTCCAAAAATAAGTTCTGGACCCTCGGCCAAAGTCAGTTGCACCGTTCAGAATGAAAAGATGAAGGAAAGTCCGGACTCATGTTTTAGGACGGGATGGTGTGCCTCAACACTGCGGTGTCGGAGCACATCTCCACACTGGACGACACCAAGTCCAACCCCCGGTTTTGAACTGAATATGACCCCCTTATCCATCTTGGCAGTTTCAAGTGTCGCAGGTATTGGGATAAGGGTCTTTTTCCAATGAGAGGTGCTAAGGCCTCGCATGGGGTAAGGATTAATCCCTAGGACGGTAACTTGGGTCGAGATCTCGGGGTGGATATCCTGAGATCTTAAGATTGATTTTATCCTAGGGTGGGGGCTGGGTGGCGTCATACACCTAAATGGGCAAGGTATCCTCTAACTGATAAACAGTGCCCGTAAAATAAACAGCGGTTCGGCCGTTTATCTTTGAGGGAGCCGGGGCTTTTAGTGTTAGAGGGAATCCTTCTTTAGCAAAAGTAGCGGTAGCAGTTAATGTGGTAGTAGTTAGCAGTACTTACCATAACCTAGCAATTGTGCCAGCCGTCGTCGTGGCCGGCACTGGTGCGGGGCCACGGGGGAATGCCAATTTTCAGTTTTTTTGGGGCCATGCACTGCACAGTGCGAACTCCCTCGCGCCAGGGGCCCCAAATCCACCAAAACCCTGGACTCCGGACATCTTGCCCGGAGGAGCTTGCACTGTTGGCGTTTTCGCCCCTCGAGAACAATCGAAACTCCACTGCGCATGGAATAAGAAACACCGCTCGACTCTGGACCACGACACGAAGTCCGCACAGCGGTCATAAACCCTGAACCCTCAACCCAAAACAACTCCCCAGCACTAGGGGCTGGGCCTCCGAATCCCCCAAAATCCGACCCCGGCGAAGTTTTAAACAAATCCCCAAAACTGGAACTTCTTGGCTCCTGACCCTGCGGCTTAGGAGTCCGCATCTTGGGTCTTAAGGGTCCTTTTCGTCACCGCCATCAGCAACCAATACGAACCAACCCAACCACAGAATAAAACCGACTACCGAAGAATTGAAACCAAACCGACGAACCAAATCGTAAACAGGGTTTGAAGTTTAGAGCTTAGGATTCAACTTAGGATACATGCATAAACCGTAACTGAACCGAGACACGAACCGATCCGAACCGAAGCTAGCCGAGCCCAACCGAAACCAACTGGCTGCTTCTGGAATTTGCTGGACACAAGCAACGCAGTTTCAGATGCTACGCCCATCCTCCAAAAGCAGCCCAAGACCCTGTCGCCCCAGTGCGACACTCAATGACCTGACCTGTTCTGCTATCGTAAGCATACTGCCCACTCATCTCTGCAACCGTTGGATCTGGCCACGTTCCGAAAGCGCAGGCCCTGATAGTAGCTTGAAGACATCAACTTTCAAGATCACCGTGTCAAAGTCAATGTATATGCGCTTCAGCTCTCCGAGGTTTTGCGAACGAATGAAAGCCAACGCCTGCGGCAAAGGATCTGAACCTTCGGAACTTGCTACATCGGCACTCGAGGAGGGGCAAGTAGCCGGGCTTCCTTCAAGGTTAGGAAATGCACAACTCACAATCCGCGAGTATGTGACAACCCGCCATCAGGGCATGGCAGAATTGGTGAGTGTTACATAATCTGGAAAAATTGGGGAGGAGCTTCCGAAATAATGCTTATTAATAGGGGCGTTTGCTAATCAATAGGGGGAAGGGATTAATGTTGAAGCCTATAGGACACATAGGGGTTGAGTGTTGAAGTTGAAAAGCACGGTGCGCTTCATTGCACTGCCGTGAAGAGACTATGCTGAGAACTTGGAGTCAAAAGCTTTTGCTTTGCCGACAGAAAAAACCGACAAAGTCTGTCCTGATGCAGCGCGTGGTCCTGGAACGGTTTCCATAGAATCAATGTCCTCGGCCACCTCAGCCGTAACCTCAGCCGCCACCTCAATTGCCGCCGCGCTTGCCACAACCAATGAGATCTTCACGGCCAGTTCAGGCCACGTCTTCACCAACTGAAGGTACGCCGGTAATTTGAGCACCTCCGCCATGTGGTCTTTCACGAAAGCAAGACAAACTCTCTCCAGCTGCCACACTTGCAGCAATTGCGCCTGGCAAAGCACGTTGCACACGCACCCCACCCTGAGCTGTTGGGCAAGTTGCACTTCGCACCAGCGCAGCAACCGGTTGACTCCATATTTGTGACTGACCGCCAGCAGCCCTTGCATCTCTTGGATCGATGCCTTGGCCATAAGCTTCTGAACCATCGCCAAGTCGTCCGTATAGAGGTACTGCAAAAACACTTTGAAGCTGGCCGTGCTGCAATCCGACACGACAATAACCTTCGAAACCGACTCTTGCATCCCAGTCGCTAGCTGCCGTGCAAAAACCTCGGATCGGGCGCTAATCACCTGCGAATGGGCCGTCAAGAGCTCACCTTGCACGTGGAACTGTACGTCAGCATTCGGGTCAACCTCCCAATAGTTTTGCATGTCATGCCCCAAGGTACCCAGCGGCACATCATCCGGGTGGAGGTCGTGCAACGGCTGCACAACCGATTGGAGGGTCTGGTACGGCCGGACTTCCAACACAAACTTGACGGTCAGCGAGTCAGAATCGACCCATTCTGACTGAAGAATTTCTTCATGCGTGAGGCCAAAAATACCTGCTGGAGCAACCTGGGAGTCTGCCAAACTAACATCCGGACCATAAGCTTTGCTGGTAGGTTCGTCGTGGATGGCTTCGCATGTTTCGCCCCATTGCGCGAAATTCCCTGCACGTCCTTGGACGTAAATTCGGTATCGTAATATTATCCGACCTCCTGCATAAACGATCGCAAGTGACCCAGACTGTCCGGCACCCAAGTCTTGGCAAGGACTGAAAGCAAAATAAAACTGCTCGCCGCCCACAAAGAAATCTTCAGTTTCCAATCGGACCTGCTTCATCTGCTCAAGCGTACTCCGAATCCAGGAGATGCCAGTAATTTTCCAGATGTATTCACCCTTCGCAACACAATGCCCAAAACTGGCAATAGCCCCGCCGTGTGTTGTGTTGGGGCGCGGCTTCGGTGGCTTGCTTGCAAGAAGTCCTCAACTGTCTCCCTCTACATCTGCCCTGAACTGTTCACTTGTCGCATTTCGGGTCTTTGCATCACTTATGTCACGTTGCACCTCATCAAGCTCACGGCGCAGCCTTTGTGTTTCAAAGGCAGCGTTGATGGACTCATCCAACTCGTGGCTCCTGGCCTGCTCCACCTGCAGTTGCTGCCTTGCTGCCTGAATCTGGGCACGCAAGGCCTCATCCGTTGCCGCCGCCATGGACACTGGCCTTTCCAAACGGCTAGCACGTACGGTTCCCCTAAGGCACAACAGTAGCGCAACAAGTGATTGTGAGACCACCAACAGCAAGACACTGGATACAGCTCTTGTCCCAAACAGGACAAAATAAATTTCTGCAAAGATCTCGGGACATCTTTGGAACAACGTCACATCACTTGAGAGAGCGGCGGCAGGGGTAGGCAAGCCAGAATACAAAACTACATCCAATCTCTGACGTAGGTGCCATCAGTGCAAGCCTTCAACTTGTGCGGCAGAAGTGGAGCGCGTCCTCTTTTCAGCAATTGTCGACGTAAATGCTCCACGAGATGCACCCCGTGCCACGTTTTGATCACTGTGGCTTTGTTTCCAGGTGACCGCGTGGATGCAGAAGGATGGAGAAGGTACAGCTTCAGGCAACCGGAATGCAGAAGACTACGCGACTACGCGATTGTCGAAGCGAGCCACCCGGGATTTCCCATTTGCTCCAGGATGTACCCCAGGATGGTCCGAGCCACCATGCTCGAGGCAACCGCAGCCAGTGCTTCTCATCTTCCATGTGCGCAGCGCTCGACACTGCTACACGCACATCCACATCCTACGAACAGCTGCTCCAACGTCTTTTGAGGATTCCATTATACGCAGCATACTGCAAACGTTATCATAAGTTTCTCTCGGGCTTGGGTCGACTGCCCAAAGCAGCTCCGCGTGACCAAGCACGAATAGCCGGCGCTGGGCATCAAATTCACGAGGCGTTACGCAAACCAACGTCATCATCCACTTCTGCCGTTCAGCCCTGCTCAATACACGGAAACAAGCACGAAACTGGTTCAAGATGTTCTGCGTGTGAAGCCAGGTGGTCTCCCAGTTCGGACGCTGCAGCAAGGTGTAGAGACTTGATGCAACAGCCACCTGCACATGCTGTCTGCTGCCACAGAGGCAGGTCTCAATGGCAGAGAAACCTGCCGAGCAAACTTCTTGATCTTGACTCCCGCAATGCTCGGAAAGGTCCTGGGGCAGCGCAGAGCGCAGGGAGCCTTAAACGTTTTTGGCTATGGGAAAGGAAAGTATCGCTCAGGTCCTGGATAACAACTGGCAGTGTCTCCCTGACATCAGCTTCACGAAAAAGAGACCCCTGCTGCAGGCACCAGAGCTGACCTCAGATCTGCCATAAAAATGCATGCAGTTCACATCCAGAGCATGGTGCATCACAGGCCGAGGAGCAGAAGAAGACTTTGCCCAGAGCCGCATCATCGCCGAATCGAGTTTGCACAAACCACTTCACCACTCTGCTTCTGCCAAGTAGGAGTGATTCCTTTTGCATGACGGCCCGAAGGTCGGACACAATGTGAGCATACTGGACCACGGAGGAACGCCTGGAAAATGGCAGTTGCCAAGCTGCAGTAGTGAAGCATGCTTGGCACAGACATGTGGCACTTGCATACACACGGGTCATGACCACAACACCCCAACGCCTGCTCATGCTGCCCATCTCGTTGACGTGTTGCAGCAGAATCTGCGAGGTTCGAAAGCACAAGAACGTCGAGGAGGACAATAGCATCTGTGTACGTGTAGAGTATGCCTGTGTGCTGTACGTGCAGATATGTACGCACATGATGCGCCCATGCAGCGACGTTATCCTAGGTTGGGCTGCTCCGCAGGGATTCTTTTGTATAGGCAGGTCGCATTCAAGTCAAGTGTTCAGGATGGTGGTTAAGGCATCCTCAGAACGAGCGAAGTTGCGCCAGATCCTCGTTTGAATACATGGGCTCCGAAACTTCAGAATGCTAAAGAAAAGCCTACGAGATTCTGTCCAATTGTTTCTTTCTTCTTCTTTACATCTGCTTTGTGTGATACTTGCTTGTCTGGTAAATTCTTCCTCCTACCCGCCATTCCAAGGTACAGTCAGATCAACCACCAGAGCTGATGAGCTTCTACAGGGATGGTCTTCTGAGCTTGGCATCTTCGGTTTGAACTGACTGATCTGACAGGCGCTCGCACTCCCTACCCTGTGCTACGCGCTGGCGCTATGCCCTCCCCCCGGCCTTGGGGCGCCGAGTGTGCGTCGACGTTGCGCGCCAGCTCAGTATCTCTGGCACCTGCAGATATTCAACAGACGCCGGCTGGCATCTTCCTGCTTGAATTTTCAATGCATCCTCGCATTTTGCAACATCTGCATCTGAGGCGCGCAAAAGCACTCCAACAAATTCGGCCTCAATCTGTTCGAGACAAAAATGTTTCGCAGCCCAAAACTCCATGCAAGAAGTGTTGCTGACAACTTCCAACCACATGTGCAGCCAAGATGCAAAACAAGCATAGCGGGGTAGAAGCAATCGTCAACGGCCAGATGGATGGCAGAGGCCGGCTGCCTTTCTTCGCCAGACACGGGGCAGGGGTTCACTTGCGCCGTTTGCACCGCCTCAAAAGTCTGGGACTGCCCCTGCCACATTTTTCCCTTGCCATGCCCGGCGGGTCGATCCGCCCTCCCCCTTGCCCCACCCAGGGGCCCACAACTCAAAAATAAAGCAGTCGTCCAACAATGCTCGCAACCCCACCCCTCATCCCACCCTCGTGCTCGGCTTTCCAGCTCCCAATGAGGAAGGTATATCCATGTCTGTGTGTGCGCACGTGTGTCTGTGTGTGTGTGTGTGTCAGAAAACCCGAGCCGTGCTGGAGTTGCAAATTTCAGACAGGGCGGCATTCAAGTGCTGTGAAGCAATCTGGGACGCCAGACTGTGCACCCATCTCAAGTGTTCAAAGATGCAGAATCAGAGCCCAAAGCTCATCCTCTCAGATGTCCTGTTCACACTTTGCTTTTCTCCTTACTTCTGCTGCTTTCTTTGTATCCGTTGTCCCTCTAGCTGTGTGTGGCTAAGTATGTGTCTGTTTGTGGGTGAGTGTTGATCGAAGTTGATTGCAGTTGATAACCAGAATCAGCCACGGCCAGGACATATTGTGTTGGCCAGTAACAACTCCAGCATCCGGCAGCCTACGCTTCGCCCTACCCTTCGCCGATGCTCCCGCTATGCACTCAGCAGGATTTGACAGGGACAGAGCCTCTGGCTGGAGAGTATGTTGCTGCTGAGAAACTCGACAGGCTCGTGATGCTCGTGGCAACCATGCGGACCCTCCAGCTCCGTCTGCGCTGCTGGAACCTGAGCTTGACATTCATGGAAGCAGATCAGGGATGCCGAGAAGCAGCAACCTTGTGATGAGGGGGCAACTTCGCACACATGAGGGGCACACGGGCTCCAAATGGCTCCAATCTAAGAGTCTGAAGGTGCCTTCACACAGTTACTGCGACTCAGCACCGGCAGTTGTGATCAAAGGCACAACGCTGCGCTGACGAGCACTTGTAACCAGGCACACATCACGCGAGGCATATTAAGTCATAACCACAAGACTTGTGTCAGCTTGCACATTCAGTGAGGAACCGGTTCAAAGCCACTCCAGTCGTCAATGCTCCAGGCATCTTGGTCCGACGACGTCAATGGCTGACAGACTTTATCACCATCCTTCACCACAGACTGCCACGGCTAGCAGATACCAGCAAGGCACCTCGACCCACTCCATCTTCCCCGCTGCACTAATCACTCAAGAACACACTGCCCCTTCGCTCCTGCTGGTCATCCACGTTCTCCTCATCACCCACATGAAAGAAGTCGCAGTCGAGATTCCGGCGTGCAGTGTCATCAATGCACCTCGTTCGTTCCGCAATAGCAATTTGCTTCTGGAAGCTGCTGTGTGCCTGACTAGCTGTGTGTTTGCATGTGCCAGGTTCTCTCAAATAAGCTGAGTGGCGGCCTTGGAGACAGCACATCCTGCACCTTCTGCTTCTTTTTGGTGTTTGGAGTTGTGGAACAAGATGTGAGAAAGCGCTTTCTCTTCACCTTGCTCTGCATCTTCGCACCCGCAACTTCATACCTCAGAACACATTGCGAATGAGTCTGCCCAATTAAGTTATCCCTTCTCGATTTTCAAGAGAGGCCCGTGGACAGCAAGGCACCATGAGAAGCGTAGATGTGGCATGGAGTAAGTTAAGTCAGTTAAGTGCGATAGAAGATCATCAACGGGGACGGGGTTGGCACCTCATGATTTATCTACATTCTGCTATCTCACGCCGGAAGGGGGAGACAAGGAGGGGAGAGAATAGGGTGGGGAGAAGGGGGTGAGGAGGCGGTGTCTTCACAATCTCTGAGCAAAACTAAAAAAAAACTCCCAAGAAAGGCCTGTGTACAAAAAAAATCTCCCGCCCCCCCCCCACAGACCAATTAAGCATCAGCTATCTTGATGAGAACTCGTGCTGGCAAGAATCTGAACTTGGAGCCTGCATATCTGGCGTTCCAGGCTCGCAATGCGGGCAGCAATCGCACCAGATGATTGCTCTTGTCGTTCGTAGACCTTCTGCAGCAAAGTGTCCAGCCTGGGCCAATCACACACAAGTGCTTGCTAGCGCCGCAAACGACAGCGAGGTTCCACGACGGCTGCCACGCAGGAAACCATCTCAGACCTGGACGAGGTCAGCGAGATTAGCTGCGGCAGCTGCGGCTGCAACCCTTCGAAACTTTCATCAAAGGACTGCGAGTCACCAGACCTCAGTTCACTTTGGACAGGCCAGGCATAGGCAAGGCATTGGTTGGTGCCAGCTGCAAATCTCCGACAGCTACGTAGAAGACATGGAAAGGTCGATCTCCCTGTTCTTCAATGCTGTTGAAGAAATTTTAAACATGCTTGTTCCTTCCATGTGTTAACACACGTGAACACTTCAGCCTATGCAGCAAACAAATCTGCCCGGTTTGCGGGTTCTCAAAAGCCCCCAAAACGAACTCATGTTCGCAAGTCTCTTCGCGGTCACTATCATTGTAATCGTCCGAGGAGTCTAATTATGTACAAGTAGTAGTGCAACCGGTACAGCATTACACGACAGCGCTGTAGCAACGCACGCCTAAGCCTCACGCGAGGAAGCAGCCATCACATCTTCGGGCAGATCCTTCCACCGCAGCCATTCTCTGGTTTAGGGTTTGTGGTTTAGGGCTGTATTCAGCCGGAATAACTATAGCAACCGGATCATTGCGCTAGCGCCTGCCGAGGACGGAAACCAAAACCAATATGCAACCTGCTGTGACCCTGCCATGGACTGCATACTCAATTAAAGCACGCTCTTTATAGCAGAACTTAACACGGACCAGCAGTGACAAGAAGCGACTTAGTTTTCAAAAGGCCTTGGCAGTGGCAATCTTCTCTCACCAGCTACCAATGCAGCACAGCGCAAGACAGGCCTCGTCATGCTTCTCACACAAGAACTGCTGCAGAAGTCGCTGAGCTGTGGCATCAGTTGCCAATCCCATGGCGATGAAAAAGAAGAACGTAACGATCAAACGACAAGTTAGGGCGTTTGGTGGGTTAAGGGTGGGTGGGGTGCCTCCACCATCATGGATCATGTCAGCATATGTCAGCTAAACAAGGGCTCATGCCGATTTTTTCATGGAGGAAGCCCAAATCAGGTGTACTTGGGTAAGGTCGGACCGTTCACGTAAAGCGGTGCAAGTCCTGAGTTCACAAGCGAGCTGATCGTTTTGCGTTGCTGGTGTGTGACACCCTGGGCTTCTTCTGGAATTGGGGAAGCTATCGCTGCAGTGAATAAGTCTCTTTGAACATTCAGAAATTGCAGCTCAAGTTCTAGAAGTGTACAGTGATGTCAATGTGACGGTTTAACTGCTTGAACATGCATGATCTTCAGTGCTCGAGCCTGCTTGCAATTGCGCTGCAGCACGAAAAACCGACAGGCCCCGCAATACGTATTTAAGTTATTAAAAACGTGCAAGTTTAAGGCTCGCTGATCGTTGGTTATAATTTGAGACTCGCTGATCCTTGATTGCAATATGGGCTTCTGATACCTGCTCGATGTTGCCAGACAAGCTTCAGGGTGAAGTGTCAGGCCCTAGCGTGCTATTGCCCTGGGTGCAGACTTCAGCTGCGTCGTCTGAGCAGCGTTCATGGTGGTCCTCCGACACCCTCGGTGCAGTGAAAAGATCGCCAAGGACTGCCCTGGTGCCCTGGTCTCCTCGATTTTTTTCCTTGGCGCAAGCGATCAGGTCAGGAGCCCCGGAGCCTCTGCGTTTCACGCTTTCGGCTCCCTAACTTCGACTCAGCCTCCAAGGCTGATTCTAAATTGGCTCACCCTCGCATCCCCCTTTTCGGGAAGCGGTGCAGAGCCGAGGAAATGCAGGGGTAGGGGGCCGTGAAGCGATGCGCAAAGCATTTCTTTGGTCGAAGTTCAATGCAACCGCCCTCATCTTCTCTCCCGAACTCCTTTCTCTTTTGCTTTTTTTTTTCCTAATTTGGGCTCCTGTTTCGAAGAGCGCCTCGGCTCCGGCGGGCCCCTTGCACAAGGGGGCCCGGCGGCGGCGGGGGCGGCGGGCCGGGCCCCTTTCGCTCAGGAAAGCAAGCCGTGCGTCTTGCAGGCTCGCATGTCTCCGTCCTTAGAGACGAACTGTGCTCTGCAACGGCAGCTACAAGGGATTCGCAGACTCAGCCGGAGCTTAGGCACGGTCCTCTGGGCAAGTGGTCACGGAGGCGATCGTGCTGCCCTTTTGGCTCGTCGCGATGCGCACTAGCTGTCACTAGCTGCTGCGAAAGGTCACCTTAACCGCCCTCGCCTCGAAGTGCAGGCCGCAGATCTGCCTCCCGCGTGGCACGGTGAAGCGCCGGGACCCAAAGGCCTTTCGCAGGCTGTGCACCAGAAGCAGATCGGGAGCACGAGCTGGTCTGAGAGTCTGAGTCGGTGGTACCTCCATCCCCTTTAGGCTGAAGATGCTTCCGAGCGAGGTGTAGAACGCAATGGAGGTGCCCAGGAAGGCATCCCGAGCCAACTGGCAAGGCAACACAACAATCTCTTCATCGTCACATCACTGCTCCGCCTGCCTGCTCCACAGCAGTTATGTGCTCACCCGGCCCGAGCACCCATGGCCCGTGTTCGGCACCTGTTAAGAGAAGGCTCATCCCTAGCAGACTGGCTTTTCCGCTCCGTTCCGCTCGGCATTGAACCTCCTTCTGAGTTGCCATACTCGCAGTAGCTTCCATCTCGGAAACGAAACCAGACCTCAAGGAGGCCACAGCCACACATGCGCAAGGCACAACACGCACCCCAAAGTCCGATGCCTTGTCGACAGCATGCCCCACGCGGCCACCTAACGATGCCACGGCTGCCGGCTCCTCACCCAATGGTGGATTTGGCGGAGGTCTTGAAAGCCCTGGAGCACCCAGCTTCATGTACGGGCTCAAACGAACGAGCACTTGCCTGCGTTCTGCGAAAGCTGCTCAAAAGCAGAAGTCTGAGAAGGCCCAGGCTCAGACCATGCCAGAGGAATCTTCAAGCATGTTGTCCGGTGTCTCCTCTGCCGAGATCTTTCGAAGATGGATACCCATCAGCCGATGTCCTTGCATGAATCGCTAGATGTCCCACTCGCCCGTCTCCCAAGAGCATCCGTACCTCCAACTGCAGTCCTTGAAATTGAAGGCCAACGATTTGGCTTCCAGAGGGAGCCAAAAAGCACCGACGCTTTCGCGCTTGGGAGCCCTGCCATGCACCAAGAATATGCGAGGAAGGCGACTAGATGGACAGCGGACATGAGACACCTGCAATTCTAGGACATCCCCTCGAGATGTGTAAAAGATGATGGCCAAGCCCAAGAAGTCATGCCTCTCCTGCGCCAAGCGACTCGAAGAGAGAGGGACGCAAACCCAAGGCTCTCAAGGCTCTCATCTCCTCCTGCAGCACGGAGACGATCCTCTCGTCTGGCCTGCGTAAACCACACTGCAGCACAGAAAGGGCACAGCCAAGACAAAAAAAGTGGAGGAGGCCTTAACTTCCATCGATGCTCAACGTCACCCCCCACACCTCACGACCACGTCATGGGCTATATGTGGGCAGCACCACTGAGCTTGGTGTTCAGACAAGCAGCTCCCAAAAAATACCGTGCTGCCATTGACCAGCTTTATGTGGATATTGTCAACAGCATAACCTGTACCTCGATTCAAGGCTCGCGCTGCTCACAATCAACTAAGCGAACATCACAACAGCAGCACAGATGAAGACAAGGCAACAAGAAACCGCGACTTCACATCACAGGAAGAACACGAAAAACACGACCGCGACGACAACGATGACAATGACCGATGACCACCACCACCACCACCACCACCACCACCACCACCACCAGGAGTAGTAGTAGTAGTAGTAGTAGTAGTAGTAGTAGTAGTAGTAGTAGTAGTAGTAGTAGCAGCAGCAGGAGTAGTAGTAGTAGTAGTAGTAGTAGTAGTAGTAGTAGTAGTAGTAGTAGTAACGGCAGCGCTGCGGCAACCACAACCACACCACCAACACCACCAACACCACCAACGCCACCAACACCAACACCACCACCACCACCACCACCACCACCACCACCACCACTACCACTACCACCACAACCGGCGACAGCAGCAGCTGCCGCCAAACAAAACGCCAACGCCTACGCCAACAGCACCAGAACCAGCAGCAACAGCAGCCGGAGACAATCAACCGCATCGCAAGCACGGCAGCATCAACCCTAAGCGGAAGACTCTTCCCTGCCAAGCACAACGACAATGGCAACAAACGAAGAAACGATTGCAGCAACTGCCAGTCACAGTAGCTCGGCAAAGGCAGTCTCCTGAACACCCTCAACCGCACCGCCCATGCATCCTGGCTGCAGCCAATGATTTCTTGAATTACGCCTTGAGGAGCTCCATCTTTGGGAGACAGCCCTTCGGTCGGCCCGGTCACCTGACGTCTTCAACAAACAGCGCAAGTGAGCAGGGCAAGATCTGGTTAAATCCATAGAGCATGACCTGGTCAGTGTCGATCTGGGAAGCGGTGCAAAACCAAGCATGGTGGAGGCAGTCCACGTGGCTGAACCTGCCCCATGGACCCACGCAAAACACCCCCTTTCTTGCGACGGCAGAGATCTCAAAGAACAGCCTGGCCTCGAAGAAACGTTGATGCAAAGCAGCCCCTCGATCAGCGACCGAGCCTGACCAAACAACCGTCTGTTTCAGTCGCCCCACTGACACCTTTTCACATAGGAGCGATGAGGATGACGCAAGCGAGCCAAAAGATTTCGCACATGCAGTGACTCTACAGTGCACGAGATTGGCTCTTGTCCATCAGGCTCCGTCACTGCACAGTCACTTTGTGGCGAACATCTCCATGTGAAAACTGCATCCAAGTTATGCCAGAACGTCCGAGGACATGGTTACATGGACTCTGGGCAGAACGGTTCGGTACCAGAAAAATCATGTTTCTTTGTCGAAAGCAAAGAAGTTCTACGTTAGGCAGCAAGCAAGGAACAGGACAGCAGAGCAGAAGGACGGAAGCAAAAGTAAATGGAGAAGTGAAGCTCACACTACTTGATCAGTCGAGGCCGGCTGTCGTCACAAAAGTGCCCAAGTAAACATCTCTCTGCGCCTCCTTCGATGCATTTTGCCACGATCGGCCGGCCTTTACAGAGGAAACAACCTGCAGGCTGATGGCACCGCGAGTTTCAGAGTTACGCTTGCCGCATGTAACCCAAGCCTCTCTGTGACGCTCTGGCACCAAATCTTTGTTGGACCTGTCACATCCCAGAAGTGGTCATGCACTTGCATTCTGCCGCGCACGACGCGCCTGATTGAGAAGGGCCATTCCCCACAGATCATGGCGTAGATCATCACACCAAAGCTCCAGTAGTCGCAGGACTACCAGGCACGAAGCTCCGTTTGGCAAGAGTCGCATCCACATCACATGCGGCTAAGAGGGCACTGAAGGATTCAAACCGGTGCGTTTGTTGGCCCCAAGGTCCTGGTCGTACATGCCCTGCAGAACCTCTCAGAGAAAGAGAGCTGAGAGGAGACTTTTTTCTGCTTTCTGGGAGCCTCCGGGGCCACCATGTCCGGCGATCCCACCGCCGTGGCGCGCCGCATCAGGGGTGCGCTGTGCCTCAGAGCAGAGCCGTGCCCGCCGCACGGAGGTGTCGGAGGGTGACCGGTGACCGAGCGGGGCACATGTTCTTGGAGAGCCCGAAGTCCGTAATCTTCACCTCTGCTCCGTGAGATTCTGCAGGCAGAGCTACCGCGGTTATGAACACTCTCGCCGAGGGGCGTCGTGGACCTCTGAGGGAACCGGCAGGCCTTCCGCCACTCCCTGGTAGGCATAGGTCCGGACGATGAGCCTGAGCGAGCATGGGATCGCAAGCGAGATGCAGCTCATCTACTAGCCCTTTCCGGGGAAAGCCAAGGATCACGTTCTCCAGCTTCATATCGCGATGGATGATGCCGAAGGAGTGCATGTAGCCCATGCCTGCACAAGGCTGTGACAGGTCACGTCACGGCGGCACGGCGACACGCGCCGCTGAGCGTCGCCTTCGAGCAGCTGCAGGGCCACGTGCTTCGTCGCCAGCTCGGACTGCCCCAGGCCGGGGAAGAAGGGATCTCCTCTCATAGGCACCGAGACTCGACGCCAAAGATTTCAATGAGAGGCTTTCGCGCTCCCCTTCCAATCAGAACTTCGTCGCTGAGCCTGTGGACGGTCGCACACAACGTACAAAGGCTTCGCAGCTTTTTGGGCGCAGGAACCGGCAAACCCATCGTATTAAGAAAAAGCAAGAAGAGAAGCGCACAGAAGCACCAAGGAGCAAGGCTGGCAAGGCTTGAAACGAGAAAAAACCGAATCAAGAACCCCCCAAACCCCGAAAACCTCGCGCTGTGCGGCTGTGCATGAGCCCTTCCACGGCCACCGATCTTCCAGATGGACAGGCCAAAGGGAATCGCAGAAGAAGCATAACAATATCTCCAGTCTTCCCTCTCTTAAAAGCAGATCAAGTTCACTTGAAAGGTATCTCTTCGTGAAAACCTGCCTGTCATGCAACTTTGCCGCGTCTCTGGCCTCATGGAGGCCCGGCCCCCCAGAAGCGACCCTTGCATAACATGAAAAAACCGTCCAGTCATAGCTCATGTACACATGCTATTTGAAGGTATGAGCCCTGCTGTGGGACCCACATCATGCTGAGACTTGAGCGAAACCGACGAGAAGTAGCTTCCTGATTCGAGGAACCTTGTATTGAGCTTGCCCCTGCCAAGCAGTCACGACCAAGGTGCCAAGAAGCCGACAAGCCAAATTGAGCTTAGAGATAACGAGGCGCAGAAGTAGGGAAGTCACAAGAAGGCTCTAAGCTCTCTCTGAAGGCGGCTTGATCTTCTGTTGACGCTGATCCTTAACTTTGCCTAGAGGTGATCTTGGAATTTGTCCCCTTGGAAAGGCTCGTGCGACTCCACTACACTCGACTTTGCCGCAACACACAGCAAGCCAAGAGCAGAGTCCACGAGAAAGATCGAGCCGAAAGACTCTTACATCAAAGATAGCAACAGCCAAGTGTTGCGGCACTGTCGCCCCGGTGCCAACCGCAGTCCCAACACTGGCTGCCACACGGCATCAGGCACCGGTGGAAATCAATGAATCAATGAAATTCAACGAACTTAAAGACGGCTTCGTGAAAGGCTAGAAACGCCAAAATGCCAGTCCTCGGCTGATGGAGAGATTCAGTTCATCGAAGACTTTGTTGTGCAGATCACCCCCTCGGGCCAGATCCATAACGAGCCAACATCTGTCTTCCTTGCGGTCTGCGATAAGGTCTCCAGAGTCTTTCTAACGCAACACCAGAGGCTCTGCACAGACATGAAAGAAATCTGCATGTCAACCACCTCGAACAAGTGCGTCAGCAAATTGACGATCCGCGGATGGAAGAGCTCCTGAAGGAAAATAGCAAAGCTTGCATCAGGCACACACAATTGACAGTCGACACCACGCAGAGCTCATCTACAAAGAGTCTGGGCACGCAGGAAGAGACTCAGTAAGCTTGCATTAGGTGAGAGGAGGCGTTCTGCTGCCCACGAGACTCACTCACTCACGCCTCCATGTTGCGAATTTCTCTGCGCAAGTTTTGTTCGCCGTCGTACTTCTGAAAGACGACGGCCTTCATTTCAATAACCTTGACCTCAACGCAAGCCAACTCGAAAAGCACCGGCATGCTGCAATGGGAAACGAGGACCTGGCAGCATACTTCTTTTGAGTCTTGACTCTTGTGCATTCATAGACAACTGCCTGGCCTCCGCAACTGGAAGCAAAGAATACATGCACGTTTCTACGTTGTTTTGCGACTCTGGGTTGTCTGCCTCCTTTGCCCAAGCGCTTGCCCAAACTGAACTGATCGTGGGCCGGTCCAAACACCGTTATCTGCGCCGATTCATTCGGCTTCTTCTCAGCCTCGGTGCAAAGCCCCGCCGGCCCGATTTGAAACTGGAGTGCTGAAGAGTTTTAAGCATCCCTGCATCCGGATACCCAGGCATGGCTCGCTGATGAGTGGCGAGGCAACATTCAATGCACACAACACTGTGAAACAATTTTACCCGACCACAACTAACCGAAGAAGCACATCCATGAATTTGCCAAACAGTAATGATGAACTACATTGCACTCTTCTGGTGAACTTTCGCAGCCAGAACGAAATGTGTAGTTCATCGATCTTGCAAAAATCGTCAAGCCGGCAATGACATGTTTTGTCCTTTTTGGGTTGAGCAACAAACGCCTTTGGAAAGCGATTTGGAGCTCGTGAAAAGTCTAGATGCCAAAACACTCACACAACGACCAAGCCTGGTCACATTGCTACTCAACACGGCGCTGGTCAGTTGCTTGGCACAGAAAGATTGAAGATGCCGGTGAACGTTTGCAAGTGACAAAAATTAACTGTGAACCGAAGCCATGACGTGCCTGACAGGCTTGACCTGAACCATGCCGAGGTCGCACATTCGGTAGACTGTCCCGGCGTAGTACACGCGCAACACGCCACAAAGTGTTTGGGTTAAGGCTCTAAACTGTCTGCCGCGTTTTTGGCTTTACGGGAAAATACGACTAGTGAAAAGCCAATATGAATCAGAAAGCAATGCGTACGCTAAAGACACAAATAGAACAGCAATAAAGCCCCACCAAAAAAATAACCAAGAACGCATATTTTCAAAACACCAGAATGTCCGGAAAACTTCCAGAAAGTTCTGTCTTGTGTTTGAATAGATTTTGGCATGTATGGCACACATTAAACTCCGCGTCGCTCGAAAAGGCTCAGTGTGCTAGAAGCGACCTGCATCATGTGGCATGTTGCCTGAAAAGAGTTCTCCCGCTCAGCTTTTATTGCGTGCCAGGTTCGGCACTTCTTGCCAGTATTCGATACGACGCGCCCGGTGGCCGCAGTCTTAGAATTGGGGCCTCTCCGGGCCTCACCGCCTATCGGTACCCCATCAAGGATCCGGCATCCCACCTCCCGAACACGTCTACGACGCTCTTCTCTCTCCCCATCACCGGCAGGCCGCCAATGCACACTTGCACGTTGCCTCTGCCAGAGAGGTTCTCGAAGTTGGAGAGGGGCTGTCATAAACTGATGGCTGCCCTCCCAGGTTTCTTCCACCTTGGCACCATTGCTACCGAGACATGCTTGTGGACTTGTCCACTACTGTTTTGCCAAATGGACAAACGCTCGCCTTTTCTTCGGTTGAAACTGAAAAAAGCTTCTTTGCTTTGTCTTTGCCAATGGCAGCGACATCTTGATGCAGTGGCATTTTCCTGGACACCTTGGAATATCTATTCATTCCGCTTCGGATCAAGTTCTGCAGCGAAGTCACTTCGCAATTTTGATTTCCCACCCAGCCCCTTGCTGAAGAGGTGGAAGTAGAGAAAGTCAACTACCCTGGCCAAGGAGTGCCGCAGTTAGACACGGGCAACGGGCTCCGGGAGCCGGCAGCACGTGCTACTCTCCACCGCTATGTGATGCAATTGAATTGTGCTTAGCAGCCAGGTCTTGAGTCGATGCACGGCTTCCCTGCAAGGATTGGGGACAGACACAGTCGCCAACCTTCATTTTCCGAGCACCAACGCATCTGCAAGGCACGGTCAGCGAAGTTGACCACTCCCATGCCGAAATTTTGCGGGCTGACCTTGAGCTCACAAGCAGGGATTCAAGACTGCTTGTTGTTCGGCAAAGACTTCCGCGTCCTCCGGCGACACACAGCTTGTAGCCAGTTCCTGTATCTGAGAAACGTGACAGGAGTTCGCCCACCCTTTCTGCCCATGTTGATTTGGGGGCCTCTGGTTCAAACAGTTTCGACGAGGAGAATGCGAGCCTCCGTCAAGGGAGGGGGCGTGGCAACATCCGCCTCCTCATGGGCAGAGAGCCACGCGTCCAGTAGCGACCCCAGGCAACTCCCGAGTTGCTTGCCGGCCTACCACCTTGTGACGTTCACTGAGGTCTATCTCTTGATTACGGCCGCACGCTATCCGCAGGCTGTGCACTGGCAGTTGACTCCAGGTATGACGCCGGGCGCGCCAAGCATTGGCCGTTTTTGGCGTCCACTAGCACCGCCCGAAAGGCCGCTCTTTGTGACCCCCGCGGCCAATGGCAGCCGGGACTCCGATTCCTGGAGATCGCACCCGGAAAACTTACGGCGCCTTTTGTTGGTTGTCCTCATCCACTTATACATCACGCAGGGACACAGAATCCGAGCCCCTGGTGGTCAGCGCATGGTGCTGGTCAACCCAGCCAATCGGTTGCTCTCTAACTTCCAAACCTGTGTGGGTTTGAGCAATGCAGGGCTGACGGACCAACACGAACAGCTTCAGCCGAGTGATGTATGCGGAGCGTGGCTTCTTCATCAGCCACAGCATGTGCCGGATCTACCGGTGCGGTTAACTTGTGCATCATCGTCGACAGGGTGGGCGACTTCACCGAATGCGGGGAAGCAGCGCATCAGAGACTCACAGCTCAGGCTTGCTGGCCGCGACGCGCATGCACGCGCGACTACATGGCTCGTTGATGCAATGGCAAACTACCTGCGATAATATAGGCCTCCCCCCGACGTGGACCCCGACCTTTGGGGGTGACCAGGCTATGGTGCAGGACTTCCACCTAAGATGGCATGTCCGCACCTTCCCGCCCCTGGTGGACGCTACGGCCCTGCTGGTTTTGTCCCGTCGTTTGAACCAAAAGGCAGCGGCTCTAGGGTGGCAGGACTTAAGGCGTAGGGAAAAACAAATTGCAAATGCACGACGGCATGAACTCCAGGACATGTGTGATGCAAGCACTCTCGGACAGCACTAATTCAAGCGAGGGAGCCACAGCACTTACGGCCGAACGGGGTTGCAGCAGCAACCGGTTCCGAAGCATCCCCAACTTTAGAAGAACCCGTTGCAAGGCGGCCCCAGTGAACGCACCTATTTACCAGCTGGTCTTATCAAGAAGCTTCTGCCTCTTCGTTGCCCTTGGTTCATGCCGCTTCAAGTTTGACAACCTAGATTTCTCAGACAAGAAGTCGGCATGTGAGCTCTGAAGGCGGTTGAAAAGATCAAGTGGGATGTCTGAAAGCGAAAGCGGGATCCGCAATGTGGGATCGAAATTGTCAAGTCGAAGATTCGTGAGATCATCGGCGTCCTGGTTCTCCTCACGCGGGCGCCAAGACAATTTACACACCTTGTTAGCATGCCGTAGCGAAACAGACAGTTGCATATGCAAGCCCTGCACAGGCCACTTGTTGCTGATACCTTTCTCAAGCACAGCTGGCGTGGCGGAGTTATCCGTGCCAGCATGAACCTGCAAGCGAAGTGCATCGCGACCTCCGGCTGGCTCCAAGTGCTTAAATGCAACCAAGCCGGCATAGGAAGCCAGCAACTCCGCAGCCGTCGAAGCCCACTCGGATGACCCATCTTCCCTGAAAAGCGCCGGCATATCAGAAGGGAAGACCTCCAGCGCAAACCACGGTGCCCGGTGAGAATCCAGGCCATGGTCAAGAGACCATCCACCCAGCACGATCCGTCCTGACTCGCACTTGGCATCTGTCCTGAAAGCTTGCCGCTCGTGTGAAGGCCAGCACATGTGTACAGCATCCAACCGAGCACCATTCAAGAATTGCCAACGGTAAAACCTGAGCACATGGATCACCATCTCGGGAGCCTGAGCCGCGGTGCTCCGATTCAAGGCATTTCCCCAGGCGAAAAGCGGGGCCAGGAACGGCCGCAACCAGGCGAGGAGCCGGGTCACAAAGCTCAAGCGGCCCGTGAACTCAGACAGTGCCCGGCCGGTCACCACCCAATTCGCAGCTTCTGCACGGTCCACCCATTCGACGATCCAAGCAGCACGCTTCTCGGAAATCCCAGCGGCCCAGTCATAGTAGCTGGTGTGGTAGCCGATGTAATCCACGCTGACACCCCCTTTGAACTTGTGGAATGAAAAGGGTGTCCCCAAGACTTCCATCGCCAAGAAAAGGAGCCACAGCGTCTCAAATTTGTCGGCGCCGTACACCACCACGTGGAGGTCATCAACGTAAATTAGCATGTAAATTTTATCAAGATGCAACACACGGAAAGTCCACCTTCCCACAGTAGCGAACAAGCGCGTCCAGTAGGAAGTATGCCGCTGAGCTGACCCCGAATGTTCCTACGTTATTAAGCCACAAGACTCGTGAGGTGCTGGAAGATTTACAGTTTTTGCATTCCTGTGTGCTTGACGAATGTCAGCACAAAGTGTGAAAGGTGCTTCTTTACTTTGTTTGACCCGGGAGGCAACTTCCTGAAGATCTTCCGGTCCTGGCACTTGCAGTTTGTCAAGGATCCTGATCGAGTTGTTCAAGTTGATGCCATGGGTCCCATCGTGTAATGGGCGCACGTCACCGTTTGCCTTGGTGACGGCCCCCATGGCCGCGATGAGCACCGAGTCCTCGCCGTACTTTCGGCGAGCTTCCAGCTCCGTAGTGCAAAGCATTAAGCCAGCCTGTTCATCCTGGCGGAACTTCTCCTCCAGCTGATCAGCATTCAACTCGGCCGAGCGGCAATTCAACATCGAAGGATCAAAGTCGGACTCATCCAGCTTCTTGAAGTGTGTGCGCTTAGGGAAGACCTGGGGGGTGCGAGGGATTGGATTATCCCACCCCAAAGGAACCCCCTCCGCGAAACATTCATTCCCTTGGTCAAGGATTTCGTAGTCCGGATCCCCGAGGAGCTTAAGCGATTGGGACATCATGCGCAACATGAAAGGCTGGCCTGCAGGCTTGCACATTGCCTGCTCGGGATCAGGCAGGGTCTTAGCAATCTGTTCACGTGTGTCCTCAATCAGCTTACTGCTGAAAGGTGATGTTGGCATCCGTCCCGCCGCTAAGAGGTAAGCGGCCTTTCGCAGATCTGGGATGGTCGCATGCACAGCACGTTGGAGGATCCTCCGAAGATCCTGCGCGTGGTCCCACTCCTCTGCATTAGCCTTAGCGTTCCTTGCCACAGGTCGCCATCGACCCGGAGAGCACAGGCCGAAACC